ATTCTCACATAGAGCTAACAAAGTCAACGATCTCCACCACATCTTGGAGCAGAGTGTTGGAGTTCACCACCCTACAATTCAACCTGATTTGTCCTTGAGATCCTGTAGTAGGTGTAATGTTTCCCATCCTATTCATCGCCTCCACAAATGCATTGAAGAATGTTTGTGTGCCATCAGCATATGCTCTCACCAAGGGGATTGTGTCAGTGGCATTGGGGCTAGAGAACAACTCTTGATCGCTCTGGATAAGACCTTTTTGCTCTTTGAGATTCACGTAGTATTTGTTGTCGAAAACCGTAGGCGTACGCAGATCAAAATCTACCAAGGCACTTGGATTCCCATTACGGGGGCATAGTCCACGAAGAGTTTGGAGGTAAGTAGTATTGAGGGTAGGGTCAGGTAAACCTGTGTTGCTGAAATTGTATAATCTGTCCAGAATAAACTGACACTGATTTTTACCAAATGTGTGACCACCTAACAAAAAAAATACAATAATTAGATTAGTAATAAACTAGCTAATTGATATTGTATCAATGATGTTTTATTTTCTTTTGTTAATTACCGGAGAGAGCAACAAGATCAGAAGGACGATCGAGACCAACATTTTTGAAGCTGGCTTTAAGCTCTGGAAGTGTGAAGGATGGAGCTGGGAGATTTGCATTAGCGAGATTTAGAAATGCTTGTAAACTGTCTCTCCTTCCCAAAGGAACCCTCCAAGAAGGACCTCCTGCCTATAGTATAATAACCATTATATTAAAATAATATTTCTTGAGATTATTTTTATCACCCGGAAGTTTTAATATGTAAAAAGAAAAAGACGGTCATGTATTATAAATTCACTGATTAGATATATATACATAAAAGTAACTTTTTATATCTCCACTATTTCTTGGGAAAATGTTGAAAAGTATTCTTTTGGGTTAATATGATATCGAAACTAGTGATAAAAGACCTAATTTTGTCAAATTTTCTTGACGGGACCACGCGCTTTTCTCAATTAATATTGTATACTTTTCATATAGTTAAAAAGTTGTTACTAAATATAGATTGTGACGTTCTCAAACAACTAAAAATATCCCAGTTATTTTTCGTTTCAAACTTAGGTTCGCATGTTTGATAATTAAAGCGGCTATTCAAAGTTGACATTAAAACTGAAAACAGTGTTTGTAATAAATAAAAGAAAAATGGAGCTTACCAAAGTGACAGATTGTTGAGCTGCAATGGTGAGCATATCTGCGCACGAAACGGTTCTTGGGCATGCCCTCTCCACCGCGGCTTTCATTCTATCAATCACAGGAAATCCTCGAGCCGAATTTGCGTTTCCAAAGGCATCTTTCTCTGTTCGAAATGATGTCGTGTTGTCTAACAAGATGGATGCGTCACAACCCTTTAAAAGTGCAAAATATTATTTAACAAGTTATTAGTCAATGTATTACATCCATAGTAAAAAACTTTTGTCATTCACTTAATCATTTGTTCTTCTGAAGCAAGTAACCAGTGAAGGTTATATATCTATATAATGAAAACAAAGTGATCAGAAACATTTGAACTCAATAGAAAATAAAACACTTTTCAACAAAAATATTTTGTATATTAATGAATATTTATACATAATCACATTAAAGTATTGAAACTAATCAAAATTGAATTGAATAATATAAATTAATAATCATGATTTTTGATTGATTTGAAAAACATCTTTTTAAATATCCCTCAACAAAAAATAAATGATTGATGGATCTTAAATTTCTATCGTGTTTGGTACGGCACCATGCAATTCCTAACTACAGGAACACGGATACTTCATTTTCGTGAAGCCGATTGCATAAATGTTTTGGCATCATTATAGTGTAAGAAATTAATAACTAACCAGTAACATCACTGTCGACGAGTAGTATTAATTTTCAATATAGAAAAAGCAAAGTAGCAACATATGACATCGAACTACGTGAAATTTAGGCTTTAGAGCACAAATTTAGTCATTAACTAAGAGTCTAAAGACATTTGTTATCACTTTTTTTTTTTCTACTTTTACACAGATTTATTAATATTTAAATGATGAACCACAGTAATCCGCAACGCTATAGATATAAGAAAAGTAATATCTTACATTAACAAAGCAGTCGTGGAAGTGAAGACGAAGGATGCTCGCAGCGATACGAGGGTCCGACCTTAACTCATTCACAATGGTTTCTCGTACGATGTTAGTGACGTTAGGACATGAACTATCGTAGAAGGTAGGGGTAAGTTGAGCATCGGACAAAGATGCATGAAGCAAAAGACATCCCAATGTGATTAAGGTTGTCCAAGTGAACGATGTAGAAGACGAAGAGAAATGCATTTTTGAAAGAGGAAAAACAAACTATTTGATTCTGTTTATCCGAGAAGATGAGGAAAGTCCATATCTTGAAGAATCCTTTTATAGGCAAAACGGGTCAAACCTGGAGGCATTTTTTTCTCAGTTGAAGGCTTTTTCTCTAGAACAGCAAACGAATGGTTTATTTTTGTCAATTATTTCAACTAACAATACATATAACTGTGGTATTACTCCACGCTATCTACATGGAAAGTAAGAAAGAAAAAAAATCTAAAACCTAAAATGTCAGTTTATATACTGGTATAAGTTAAATTAATTTTTTTTTAATAATTGTTTAAAATTTATCTCTATACATATTTACTATCCACTGTCAAAACTTAAGTATTCAAGATAAATTGAAGAATAATATATGTATTTTGTGGATTTCAAAATCCGACTGTAAAATATAACCAAGAGGAAAAATGCTCATACAAGTATAGTAAAATTAATATCTAGAGTGTATCCGTCTATTCATACATCCATGCGCACAGTAATTAATGCGCACAGTAATCTTGTTTTCAAATTATTTTAAATCGTTCTTTGTTCTTTACAACTAATGTGGAACACAAATTTTGCATTTAATATATAGAACACGTATGATATGTATATATATTATTTCAAAAACGGACAATACATATCAAGACTCCTCCAAATATGAATTTATTCTTAAAATGGGAAATTATTTTATGACACTCCCATATAGAATTTATTCTTAAAATTTCTTTGATTTAAAGAAATGGTATTTCAACTCGTCTTCAATTTTGGTAAACAGAAAAAAAAAAATTATGGACGCAAGATACTACGAATTCTTTGACAAAAAAAAAAAAAAGATACTACGAATTTACAAGATTGTCTTTGTTTGGCACAGTTTATATCAGATTAAAATGACTTAAAAACGTAATGTAAGGGTTTCTATTTCTAATAGATATTCTCGTGAATATATACCTTACAAAACTTTTAGCGTTTGGATGAATTTCATAAAAATATATAATGACTCGTGGAAATCCAAAAAATATTGCATTAAGACTTTATTCAGAAGAAATCCATAATAATTTTAAGAAAATAATATAACTCCTCGACGACCTTTCAAAATCTCTTGGTCGTCTCCCGCTAAAAGACAAACAAAAATCAACATCGCCAATAAGTTTTTTTTTCCTTCCTATTTTCTCTCTCTATTTGAAATAAGATCAGCCTCAAAAAAAAAAAAAAAAAAAAGATCAGCCTCGTGTCCGCCACGTTACACCGTCACTCCTAAACGGTGCCCTCTTCTTTTGCTCAAGTTCCTCATGACCTCTTTGGATAAAAAGATAAGGAATTTAAAGTGGAGACTATAAGAGCATCCACAGTGGGATAAGTGTGGGTGTGGGTGTGAAATTTTTTTTATTATTATAATTTAAAGTGAGAGAGAAAAGAGAGAGAAAAAGAAAGAGAGAGAAAGAGAGAGAGTGTCTTACACCCGAGTGTAAACTTACACCCGAGTGTGAAGAGAGAGACAAGAGAGAGACAACTTTTCCATTATTTTTCTTTTCTTTAATACTTACACCCGGTCGATGAGTGCACCGTTGCGTATGGTCTAAGAGCATGGGCAGTGGGGCAAGCAGGTGGGTGTGAGTCTTGGGGTGTAGGTATTAAAAAAACGAAAAAAATTGTCTCTCTCTTCACACCCGGGTGTAAGTTTACACTCGGGTGTAACACTTTTTCTCTCTATCTCTCTATTTCTTTCTCTTTCTCTTTTCTCTTTTGCTTTAAATTATAATACTAAAAAAATACTTACAGCCACACAAACATATTTGCCACTGCTGATGGTCTAAGTTATTTATTCCACTAGAATTATTGGTTCTGACATTATGATCTATCTTATTGATCCTAAAATGTTATATACTTATATGGTAGGTGATAGCTGCAGAAACTCCGTAGCTAATAATGATATTTTGCTTCAAAGACAAATTAATAACGAGATCGAATATGAACGGTGTCGTTTTCTGTTGGCAGGGCTGAGGTCCTGAGGCAATAATTGTCGTTGAAGATAAAACCAAAAAAATAATATCAAACGAGATTTTACGTATACACGTATATGACGTATAGCGACTTAATATCCTCACCGCATGCACATCAACAAGATTAGCTGTCTAATCTATCTGAAATACACGATTCAGCCACATGAAATTGTCTCCATTTGGGGCCCAATTCCCTTGTGAAAAATCTCTCAAGATCTCTGATATTTTTTTGTGAAAATATGGAAAAGAACAAGAAAAAGGCCACGTGAGTTAATTGTAAGAGGAGAGTAGCAACAACACACAATCCTCAATTATAGAAGAGTCACGTTAACATCTTCGGGACGACCCACAGATCCAACAAAAGTAGACTTTAGCAGCCGCGGTACCAACCCTAGCCTTTAAGTCGTTTGCATCATCACCCATAATAATGTGTATTATCATCAAATAAAGTCATAAATATTAGTAGTTTGTCACCAAAAAAAAAAAAAAACTTCATAAGTACATATTCTTTTTTGCTTCTATATTTGAAACATTAACCAGCATAAGTACATATTCTTTTTTCATATAGAAAAGGAAATAAACCGAAATAAAATGTACTATGGAAAAATAACGTAATTATATATTTATATATACAATAAAGACACAATATAGTTTAAATGAATTTAATCACATAAACTATATGTGATCATGTGACCGAAGGCAGCCAATTATTTTCATACAACGTAACATCGAAAAGTTAGCTAGAATATATCCACTAATACATGGAAAAAGAAAAAGAAGAAATTAAAAAGGCGGAAACACGTTTGATAAATGTGACCAAGGAAAGCCACTACTTTTACACATTCAACATAATTGAATGCAACGAAAAGTCCTAAAAATGACACCAACTTTATATAAGATTCAAGAAAAATACACGAAATATTTGAGAGCCCAAAAAAGAATATACAGACAACATTTCTGTTCCAGATGCTGCACTAACAAATTGAATTCTACGGTGGTCAAATATGATTAGTTACCAAATAAATTTAAACAATGGAAACTAAACTAAGGTTATTATTGAAACTTAAAAACGTATTTATACAACACATATGTTGTATATTGCAGCCTAAAAACTTAATGTTCTAGTATTTTTTCCCGTTTTAAAGCTATACTAACATTGTCAAAGCCCAAAGTCATACTCATTACATATATAAATATTACAAGAAAAAGGAAAACAACAGAAGAATAGCTAGTGACGGTTTTTTTTTTTTTTTTTTTTTTTTTTTTTTTTTTTTTTTAAAACAATTATATATATAAATGGGTCACCCAACTGGGCTTAGCCTTTGGGGTTACAAAGAAAACTCAGTTACAAAATTGAAAACACAGAAAACAGGCCCAACAAGATTGATGGATCTTGTCCTGCTGAAGACCGGTAGCAGAATCTCGAGCACTATTCCGGCGAAAGCAAGCTCCACGATTTTGCGGCAGTTCACCAGAAATGGAAACCAAGAAGAAGGCTTTCGGACTCAATTCCCGATTCCACTCCGGTGAGACACCTGACCCATTACAGAGACTCCCGAATGCTCAAGATTCCGACTAACGGCTCTACGATGGCGGATCCCATGCCAAGCAATCCACACATACTCAGACCTAACCCCAACAACCTAAATCGGCGACTTCTGTGTTTTCCGAACTAGGGTTCCCTTAGATCTAATCCGTGGAAGCCAAAACGTGTTGATTTGAGATGCTAACTGCTCAAACCAGCAATCAAAAACCAATGCCCCACGCAAGCCATCAAGATCCATAGGATCTCTCCGTTAACCAGCGAACCAGAGGTCAAACCCACCGTCCTCCTCAGACTTCCGCCGCTGCGATGGAGACCGGTCGGGTGGTTGAGCTGCGCAAAGACACTGCGGCGAACACACCAGCGTCCTTAACCGGGTTTCAACCAAATCGTCCTTACGCCCACCTAACAAGAGCCACCGCAGCATCTAAAGGAAGAAGGTGCTACAACTCCGACGCCGGAGTCGAGCTAATTCACCGCTGAGTCCTTTGCAAGCCGAAGACCTGAAATTAAGCTCAATCCCAACCTAACCCCGACAAGCGAATCCAAGACTTACCAACCGGCGAAGCATCCGCAGCCTCTGGAGGAGAGAAAGTCTGCAGATCCAGCAAGAACTACCAGATCCCGACCACGAGAGCCTCAACAAAGAAGAAGCTCCCCCCTCAAACTCACCAAAGCCACAACCAACCCCTGGAGAGGCGACACCCGAAAATCAACCAACCCAAACCTGCCGGAAACCACCTTAGAAAACGGCACCGTCCTCAAGCAACCGAAGACGAGGCAATCCCAACAGCCACCAAAGCTTCTCTTCGCACCACGCGCCACCACTTGCTCCAGATCCACCACCGCGAGACCAGATCTGCGAGAAGGACAGCTCAACCGAAGAAGAACGGAGCGCCGACGGGAGAAAGGAGAAACCAGAACAACTACAAACGAAAAGAAAGCCCTCTCCGGCGCCGGAAGGGCAAGCCGGAGAGGCAAAGGAGAATCGTAGTCGGAGGCTGAGAGAGAAGGGAGAGAAAAGAGGAGAAGGGAGAGAAAAGAGGAGAGTATTTCGCTCTAATATTTTTAGCTAGTGACGGGTTTGTTTGTCGATAAATGGTTGTAGTAAATTTGCGACGGTTTTGTAATGAGAGTGTGAAGGTTTTCAGGATCATTATAACCAAAATGGTTGTCGGATTTGTGCATCGAAAACGGCTGTGGCAATTTTGCGATATATGACGAGAGTTAAGGTGGTTATGATCATTACAATATTGTCACTCCTCACAAATGAGTGGCAAATAAGATAATTGCCAAGCCCTCACATGTTAGAATTGATTTAGTGTTATTTGATATCAAATCTTTCGAATAATGCTAATTTTTTGCTAATATATGACGAGTTAACTATGAAATGATTATGAGGCATCAACACAACTTTGTAACCTAAAAAGACGTCGTTTTGGATTCGTGTGGCGAGTCCAGCTGGTTTGAAAATACGATTGGTTGGAGGAGGAGGGATTTCGAGACACTGTCGTGAAATCGGATTAGCCACAAAGTAAGTTGAACTCCCAGGGATATGGATTTCTCTCAAACACGTACGGATCAAAATCAATCCGACATCGGTGTAAGCTTCGACTTTGACACGTTGACGTTGGTGATGGAACTCGTATTCGAATTTTTCTCTTATGAGAGAAGATATATAAAAGCCAAGAGTTCGTGGAAGTCCCCAAATCTTGCATGCATAGTAACCTACAACCTCTCCTTGTGAGTGTATGTACATGAGAGATCACAAAGAATGCGAGTTTTGATGGTAAGTGGTGATGATTCTTAGCGGTAATCTCGTTAGTATATTTGCTCATAGATCATCTGTTAAGAAAATCATCTCTTTTTTCTTCTCTGTCTCCATCCTAATTGAACGGGGCTTTTTCTCTTTTCAAAGACTATGAATATCTTTAGTCTTCTTACTAATCAAGCTATAGGGAGTTGGCCAACTTTCAAAATCCAAGTTAAAAAGGTTAGCTTTTTGGGTTTAGGTTAATCCAAAAGTGATTAATCGATCAAAGAGTAAAAAAAAAAGTCGTAAGCTTTAGAACAAAACTTGACAACCCTACCATCTCAAAATATCAAACAAAAATGGATCAAAATCTTGATACAAAGAAAAACCAAAAACATATTCATGAGACTTATTGCTTCCTTCCTCTTCCTTTCTTGGCAGGCTGTGTCTCCATCTGTTCTTTCCCGGTGACTTCAGAGAGATCGACTGCATTATACAGCCAACATAAATAAACTAAGTAAGTTATAATAAACCCAATGTTACAACACACAAAAGGAGCTTTCCTTTTAAACGTTATGAGATGATGCACATTCAAGTTCCATTCTTTCAAGTTTGGTAGGTAAAAAGCAATGTTAGAGAAAATAATAGCCGGTGACTATGTGATACGGTGTCTCATAATAGAAGTAACCTCATAGCTCAATAAAACAGAGCACGTTTTTTCTCAAACACTAAGAGATGATGCATATTCTTTCTTTAAGTTAGATATGCGGAGAATGAAATTTTTACCATCAGGTCCTCTGGCCATGAGGGTGAAAAATATGTTATTCAGTTTCTCCATCTTCTTCGCTTCTTGTGCTTGGTCTGTCTTGAACTTGAGACACTAAGTTAAATGAAAAGTAGAATAGAATCTGTCATATACTACACAAAAAGAATGGACAAGATGAAAACAAGAAGGCTACAACAAGGAGAGCTAGTTAACCACATAAGTTGATACAACGATTTATGTCAAACTCAGCCCAGCTCAACGAGTTCTAAAGTATCACACTTTGACTAACAAACACCAACATGCTTCAACCTCCACCAACAACTATTGCTCTGAAGAGTGAACTAGATCTGCTTAGCTAACCCCTCACCACGCAACACATGTTAAATTCATCAAAACGTACGAAAACTAAGAAATATCAAAAACGTAACCTATTAGAAATCGCATTGACCAAGCCAAAACCAAAGAAACTACATAACTACGACAAGGTACGATCAAAACTCAACCAGAAAACGATATCTCTAGTAATCAACCATCATGTAACCCTAAATTACATTCTCCAAACCAAGCATCAAATCATCATTCGACGACTCAGATATCAGCTTCAATAGCAAATATTGAATTCCATACTATTATATAAGACAAAACTCAAAGAAGCAGTGATCATAGAGAACTAGACACAGTCAAATTACCTCTTTGTTATCAGTAACCTTGAGAACCAACTTGCCGTCACAGTGTCTATACTTCATCACATACCGAGTCTGCACCACAACAATTGAATCCAACTATCAAATTCATTACTTGAAATCGAAACATCTGAGATTGCCACCAACACAACGAGATTCAAATCAATTATCAAGGTTTATCAAAATTCCCAGTACAAAATTCGAGGAACTATGTTCAATTACCACAAACCAATCCAAAATAACTCCAAATCAACCGTGAATTTGTGAAATCGAAAAGGAGGAGTGCAAAGAATAGTTAACCTACAGATTCGGGATCAGCTCGAAAAAGCTGAACAGATCGATCAACGAATTCGTCCCATGAAGCGATGTAAACCATCTTGATTCAGCTATAACGGCGATTCGATTTGAGGCGTTTGGATTCTATGAAATCTCCGGGAGACTCGACGGAGAAGTAGAGAGAGAGAGAAGCTAAACGACGGCTTCTTTATTTGTGTTTTCGGAACTAAAAAAAAAAAATTTGAGTGATGATCAAACCGAAGTAAACCGAATAAAACCGGAGTAAACCGTTAGTGTTGAGATTTCTAAGTAAAACCCTAACCGTTCTTCTTCAAACTTCTGCAACTTTTTTGTTTTCTCCCAAATCTGTGAATCTCAGTGTTCTTCTTCACCATCATGCTCTCTCGTTTATTTCTTAGACCTTCTAATCTACGTCTCGTAACCCTAGTTACATCGAAATCAAACTCTCAGATCTTCTCTTCGTTTATTCGTCCGCTTTCCACTAACAGTAGCGGCGGCGGAAATGGTGACGGGAATAGTCGTAATCGGAATGATGTTCCGTGGAGTTTTACTGGAGTAAACGATGATAAGTCTGGTCCTTTCTCTTCCGATGATTCTTGGGGTTCTTCTGGAGTTGAAGGATCTGGGTCTGTTGGTGGAGAGGGGAAATGGCCGGAGGAGCCTAAGAGATGGAATATGAAGGAGGAAGAGGATAAGGTTGTGTTTGATACTGGTGGAGAAGTTGGTCAAGGGATTGAGACTAATCGTGAGAGGAGGGGCAATGAATGGGAGGAGACTAAGCGATGGGATATGAAGGAAGGAGAGGAGAAAGTTGTGTTTGGTTCCGGAGGAGATGTGGTGGATGGGTTTGGAATTAGAGGAGAGGTGAAGTCTAATGAATGGGATGTGTCAAAGCCGTGGAATTTGAAAGAAGAGGAGGAGGGAGTTGTGTTTGATACTGGTGGTGAAGTGCCGTTTAGCTTTGAGAATAGCTTGGAAATGGCGGAGGAAGAGCGTGTGAAGAAGGAGTTGATTGAGAAAGAGGAGAAGGAGCTTCTTGAGGTTATCAAGGGTGAGATTTTGTGAATTCGTTTTGCTGATTCTTAAGTTTTGATTTTAATATGCAATGCACCAGTAGTTTGGGTATGTGTCTAGATTTGGAATTAGGGGATGAATGGGTAGCTAATAATGATCACATGACTTTCCTTGTTAAGGTTAAATTTGGATTTGAGGATCAGTCAAGTAGCAAAGGTTGTGTAATCAATCTATTGATAGGCATGCTTGCTGAGTGGAGGATATGATAGTTTTGGAGTAAGCTCGGATGTTTAAGAGGAATATCTTGTGTTTGAAGTGGATTGTTTTGTGCTTACTGACGCTAAGGAATAGTTTAGTGCTTATGTGTGTTTGCTAGTAACAATGCTCAGTAGAATAAATTGAAGAATTTGTTATTTTGATCACATTGGTAATTGATTCTGCTGCTAGTAAAACAAGCGCCAGAAGTAGAGTAAATTTTGCAGTTTTGCTGATTTGGAACTTACTATTCCAGGTCCTGATCGAGCATTTGGAGACCTTATTGCTAAGTCAGGTATAACAGATGAAATGCTAGATAGTTTAATAGCCTTGAAGGATTTCCAAGGGGTCGAAGGATTGCCTCCTCTGACTGAGATTGAAAACCTGCGCCGTGAGAAAAGTTCCAAGAAGTCCTCAAGAGCTGAGATAGAACTCCAGATGCAAGAGGACATTGCCAAAGCACGGGTGAGACAAGTTGATGAAACAGGTAGAGCCTATGGAACTGGAAGAAGAAAATGTAGCATTGCCCGTGTTTGGATTCAACCTGGGGAAGGAAAATTTCAAGTTAATGAAAAAGAATTTGATGCCTATTTCCCTATGCTTGATCATCGCGCTGCTCTTCTACGCCCACTTGCTGAAACCAAAACCTTGGGTCGTTGGGATATTAAGTGCACTGTTAAAGGCGGTGGTACTACAGGTAAAAACCTTCCACACTCACCTCATTTTCTTCGACTATTAGTCACTACTCAGAGCTTTCATTTCTCTAGCAAGTGTGATTTATACACCAAAGGATTTGGTCATAAGTTAACATATTAGATTGTCATCTCTTTACAAAAATCAACAATTTTCCAAGCATTTTGTCCGTTCTAAGTTCTAACCATTCTTCACGATCTACTCAAATATTTGGTTTAAAGGTCAAGTCGGAGCTATTCAATTGGGTATCAGCAGGGCATTGCAAAACTGGGAACCAGATATGCGGACATCACTTCGAGCTGGTAAGCAAGATACTGCATGCATCTTTGCGTTACTAAATCTGTGTAGTTCTTTTAGTGTTCTTCAGCAGAGACATAACATATCGTCCAATCTATGTTTTCATTTTATAGCCAGTATGTGTGTATTCGTGTCTGTTGGATTGATTGGTCTTGATCTCAACTTTTTTTTTATCTTCGATATGTTTCAGCTGGATTTTTGACAAGAGACTCGAGAGTTGTGGAAAGGAAGAAACCTGGAAAAGCCAAGGCAAGAAAGAGCTTCCAATGGGTCAAACGTTAAATCCGAAAACCCGTACAATATCTTCTCCTTTTTGTCTCTGTCATTTTCATTGGTTCATCTACTTATACCGGGTTTAGAAGAATCACCGGCAAATAACTTGTTCTTTTGGTTCGATCCCTTAGTTATCTTCTTGTACCAACACATTCTTCTCTTACGACTCAGTCTTGGAAACTTGAGTTTCTTTGGTTTGTGAGTCGGATACATATTTTTGTATGTTTTGTTCCGGCAATTTGTCATGCTTCTTCAAAAAGTGCATTGATGTTTAAACATAATGATCAACTCCTTATATGGATTATATTATTAGGTAAATTTTGATTCTTTATGTCTAATTCTCATAGACTAAACAAGAATTGGTTACATTGGCTATATACATATATTTTCCAAACTCGCATACCAAAATAGCTAATTGGACAAACTCTATTACACCATCCAAATATGGCAAACGTGACTTATGAGTTTGTGTAAAGACTTTCCATAACAGAGCAATGGATAGCTTTTGACATTTTGTTGTTATTCACTTGAAGGTTCTATTTGGTATTACGTGCAAGCATCCACTCATTGAATTTCTTCACTCCTACTACAAGTACTAACAAAATTATCACTTTCCCAACAAATCCTTGGCTATCCTTTTTCTAGCAATCAAAGTAACTATTTTATTTTTCATTAAAATAACATATCACTCGAATGACTATATAATACCAAAACACCTTCTTGTCTTTCTCATTTTCTTCTCCCAATACCTTAAACTTAAACCAAAATAGATTTTGCTTCATCCAATATCTCGAACATGGGTATAAAAGTTTCATCAAAGATCAAAAGAATTCTCGCATCCACAGGTTTAGTACAAATTTTTCTAATGCAATTCAATTTGTAACCAAGAAAATATATTAATAATTCGAAGTTTTCTTATGAAACATTCGCTAATCTCTATTGGTACAGCTTCGGGTAGTCCAAGTCCCAAAGATGGTGATGACGTGGATGTCCGAGAAGAATATGCAAACGCCTTTCGTACAGAATCATACAATCAGTTTTGGACACGTGTCATACAATTAAGCCGCAGAAAGTCCACGGTGTCTTCTTCTTCATCACCACCAATCGAATCATCATCCACGTCAGCTCGTCTAATGTCCTATCGCCTCTTCGCACACAATCTCCTAGACCCGGATCCGAATACCATAACCCGGATACTGGATGCATCCAGGGTCGGACGACCCACCCGAACTCTTCTCTCTGATTATTTCTTGGAGACGGCAAATGCTTTCTTGCTTTGCACGCTATTACTTAAAAATATTCATCGTCTTCGTTCTAAATACGAGTCTTTGAAACCCAAATTTCAATCGGAGAATCATAATTCATTGGCTTTAGTAGACCAATTCACGGAGATATCAAAATGGTTCGACCCGTTTATCTCGTCGGGTTCTAGGATCCAGCTAATCAGATCCGGCTGTTTAGACTTGCTAAAACGGCTAGAGTCGAGCCGAGACAAGACACGAGCCAAACTCAAGCTCATCAACGGACTAACTCATAGCTCAGGGCTTCTCGTTTTGGCTCTAACAACTACATTGATTGTAACCATAGCCTCTCACGCCTTTGCTTTGTTTATAGCCGGTCCGACTCTTTTAACCGCTCGATTCAAACCAGCCGGTTTAAGAAATAAGTTGACGAAAGCTGCAGCTCGGCTCGACGTGGCTGCGAAAGGTACTTACATTTTAAGCCGTGATTTGGACACGATAAGCCGACTAGTAACTCGGATTAACGATGAAGTGGACCATGTTCGAGCCATGGCTGAGTTTTGGGTTGGGAGAGGGTCGGGCCGGGTTCGAGGCAGTGAAGAAGTGGCTCGAGAGTTAAAGAGATGTGAAGAAAGCTTTAGTGAAGAACTTGATGAGCTTGAAGAACATATATACTTGTGTTTCATGACTATTAATCGGGCAAGGAATCTTGTTGTTAGAGAGATTTTGGATTCCGATGATCCTCCTAATTGTTCATTCGCTCCCAAATCCAAAAAAAAATTGTAGTATTTATTTCCTTTTTTATCATGTCGATTTTTTTTTGTTTACAATTTATTATTTATTTTAACCATCAATTATATAATTTTTACTTTTTAGAAACATTTACATTTTTATTTCTATTTGGATGGTATTCAGATTCTATTAGTAGTCATAAGAATGGCAAGTACAAAAGTCTAAGCTCTACATTTAGAAAAAAACTTACATTGAGAATTTAATTATGTATATACTAACTAAAAATTAATAAAATAAACACAACAAGTTACAATTGTAAAAAAAGGTACTCAGTTTATTTTAAAATTAATAGTATAATTAACTAATGAAAATGTAAGAAAATGCCAATGTCTTTTTCATCAATGTGTACCATACACTTTCTTTTTATAATATAAATTATGGAATATTAACATTTGTCAAAAGAAATCCCAAAATCCATTACATGTGTCGGAAAATTAGGAAAACCGATTTTTAACATATTTTAGACGACCTCTTTCTTTGGGTAGGAGAGACTATTCATAAAAAAATGAACCAACATTTTTTTTTCCTAAATCTTCTAATTAGGTAAATCGGTTGACTCATAAACCGAGTCAGCGACTCGTCCGAACCATAAAAACGATTCCAATTCGACGAATCTTCACGAGTTTCCACTTTTATATAAAGTCACTTTGCAAAATGGAAAAATTGAACAAATGCTTATAGAAAGTTATCAAATCTAGAGATAGAGAGAGTGAGAGAGGCGAAAAAATATGGGAGAAATCGGTGGAGAGGAACTGGTCTTAGATGTGGATGAGACGATTTTCGTCGCGGTGGCGGAAGATGTGGAGAGAAGCAAAACCACGGTGTTATGGGCGGCGCGTAACTTTTCCGGCAAGAAGATTTGCTTGCTTTATGTTCATCGAACTGCTCGCGCTGCCTCCTGGAGTTAGATCTTCTTCTTCTTCTATTTTTTTCTAAATTAGTTCTTTGTGGTGAATTATGGTTTTTGGATGTATAGATCTGTTTGTTGAATTATAAAACCTAGATTAGAATCGAAATTTCGAGTGGAATTTTGTTTGTTGAAAAATAGAAATTTACTGAGAGAATTCTGGAATTTTGAAAAAAAATCAGTAATTTTATTATCTATATGAACAAGAGGAAGATAAACCATTGAAATTTGAAACTAACATTTTCGTGATCGTGATCGGTCATTGAAGAGTTTGGAAGAAGTACATAAGGAGATGATGATGACTATATATAATGTACATTGTACAAAGCACTGCAAAGATATGTTGGTTTGTTTGCCCAATATGTCTTAGAGCTGGAAATTTTAATTTGTTTGTGGAAGCAGGACATTGTGATGACTTTAGATTGCTGTTTATAGCATTTTTTATTTTACTTTTCTTGTCCATTGCCAAGGATGTTAAGAATTGTTTACCTGCAGCGCACAAGAAACTTGTTGGTGGTAGCTTTAAAAAACATGATGTCAAGGTGATTGAGAGAGCTGAGAAGCCCAAAGTGGATGAGCTGATGAATTCTTATCTTCATCTTTTATCTGAAACTGAGGTATCAATATTCTGTCTTGTTTTTCATGTAATGTTGTTATTGATTGTAAATTCACACAAACCATCAGTTAGCTGTTTTGGTGTTCAAGTTTATTTGAACTAAGGCAACTCATTTTGAATATTCTTGTGATCTTGGTTTATATAAATGTTCATATAAAAATATTACCTAAACGGAAAAATCTTGTGCCATCACAAATGTAGAGCTCAGACTCTTGTATTAGGCATTCTTATTCAGGACCCTTTCATATGTTTATATAACGAATTGACATAGTTCTTTTTAGGTTCAAACAGATAAACTTTGCATTGCGGGGCAAAATATCGAGGAAGGTATCTTAGAACTAATTGCTCGCCACAAAATTAAGTGGTTAGTCATGGGAGCTGCATCAGATAAGCATTACTCATGGTAAGATATGATTCTATATTTTATCTTCTACTTTTCAAATGTTTTGACCTCTGAAATTTATATAATCAATTTAAATTTGTATTGCCAGGAAAATGACGGATCTAAAGTCCAAGAAAGCCATATTCGTTTGCAAAAAAGCTCCTGATTCCTGCCATATCTGGTTTCTGTGTAAAGGTTACCTTATCTTTACAAGGTAGGTTCTTTTTCTTTCCGTAGGTTGTAGAAAGAGTGAATGTGATGTCTTAAATCACCATCTTTTCAAAGCAGAAACTTCGATAATATATATATATCATGTCATGGGACTTTGGTTATCGGATTTAGTTAGTCTACCACCTTCATTTTTTTTTTTTGGTCAAAATCTACCACCTTCATTTAACTGCTTCTATTATATGTTTTTGTTTTCTACTTCTATTCGTTTAACTAAAAGAAAAACACTCTAAAACAGGGCGTCAAATGAGGATAGTAATAACAGACAAACGATGCCGCCCTTAGTACAGCTGGATTCAGATAACGAGACAAGGAAATCAGAAAAATTGGAATCGTCTTATATGAGGAGAAGGTTAAGATATTGGCGCAGCCTCCTTGAACAAGGTAGCGGTTACCTTGGATTTTGCAAGGTCCCTCCGGATATCATTTCCTTTGCTATCAGTTGTATCTGTCTTTGTGTGTAAATTTGTTACAGAATTGTGCAGATGGTGAGAAAGACACAGGTCAATTGGAGAGAGAGAAGGTAGAACCAAGAGCAACTCCTCATTTTTCTTCAGGTTCAAGTTCTTCCTTTGGAGAGCCGGTTGGTCCAGAGCCGGTTAGCCCAGAATTGGTTGACGCAGATACATTAACTACCTCAAATGTTGAGGTAAGAGGAGTTTGCTTCATCTTTACTTTTCTACTGGTGATGCTGATTATGCAATAACAATAAGACCCTTAAGTACTTCTTTTGCGTGAAAATACTTTACTTTGAGAAATAATTACGGGGCCTGGTTTGTTTTCAAGGTCTTGGTGGTATAGAGATGTTTTAAAATGATTATATTTATGAGAGTAAATTTGTCTTTGGGAGATATTGAAAGCTCTATTTAAAATGAAATTATGCTGTATACTTTTTAGTACTAGAAAGCTTTTAATCCGCCTGGTAATCGGGTGATCCTATGGAATTTCAGGAAAAAGAGCGTGAAGGTGATGTAGCGCGCAAAGTTCATAGGTATGATAAAGCCATGCATGATATTGGCCAATCAGAGAGAACAGTCTATGGGGAGTCTGGGAAGAAGTGGAAAGAGGATGCCAGTACTACGGAGGCTTTATGCAAGGTAATATTCCCATTCATTTCTCAGTTATTAAAGAATTGCAGATGGTAGTTTTCAAAATGATAGTCTCGATCCATTTCTGCTAGCTGTGTGTGTAAATCAGTACATCTTGTTATAACATGCAAAAAAGCTGTAGATAAAGAAACTATTTCACTTGGGATCTGTAGATTGATAACATTAAGTACAGAACTTCTTCGGTTAATAGAACCATGTGTGTTTCAGTGTTTGTGGATCACAACAAATGAAAAAACAAAAGAATGTACGATTCTTTAGATTGGCAAGCTTTGCCTCAGAGGGAGTTATATATTTTGTTGTCAAGAGCTATAGTTGAATAGTTGATGCCATTGATGTAGATTCTTAAGCCGGCACTTTGTCAAACTCGTATCTCCCGGCTTTAATATTTTTTTGACATGCCATCTCACAGGCTAAAGCCTTGGAAGGCTTATGCATTAAGGAGTCGAGCCAAAGAAAGAGATTGGAGGAATTGCTGGAAAAAGAAAAGCATGAAGTAAAAATGGTAATAGAGCAGAACAACGGATTCATGAAAGAACTTCAGATGGTTCAGGGTCAGAATCTTAAGTTGGAGAGCCAGATAAGGAAACTGCAAGACTTGGAAAAAGAACATGGTGAGAAATTCGATACGGCTATGGAGCTCTTGAAAAGTTTTAGGCAGAAAAGGGATGAGATCCAGATCGATCATGAGAACGCATTAAAGGAAGTAAACGCACTGAGAAGGCTGATTAAAGGAGAGACTGGAGAGTCTTCTGGGTCGGAAATGCTCGAGTACTCTTTTATGGAAATCAATGAGGCTACTAATGAATTTGACCCATCTTGGAAACTTGGAGAAGGCAAATACGGAAGTGTCTACAAAGGGAATCTTCAACATCTTCAAGTTGCTGTAAAGATGTTGCCCTCATACGGATCCCTGAATCACTTTGAGTTCGAGCGTCGGGTAAAGGATCATATGTATATGGAAAAATAAAATTGAATATAGACATGTATACATCCTCAAGTATTTTAACGAACAGGGTATGTGTTTTGGATTTCAGGTGGAGATTTTAAGCAGGGTGAGGCATCCAAATCTGGTAACACTGATGGGTGCTTGTCCAGAGTCTCGGTCTCTCATTTATCAATATATTCCTAACGGAAGCCTCGAAGACTGCTTTTCATCTGAGAACAACGTTCCTGCGCTTTCATGGGAATCTCGGATAAGGATTGCCTCTGAAATATGCTCTGCCCTCCTGTTTCTTCATTCAAACATTCCTTGCATCATTCATGGAAACCTAAAACCGTCTAAGATTCTCTTGGATTCCAATCTCGTCACCAAAATCAACGACTACGGGATCTCTCAGCTGATCCCGATTGACGGATTCGACAAATCTGATCCTCACGTAGATCCACATTACTTTGTTTCCAGGGAAATGACGCTGGAATCAGATATATACGCATTTGGGATCATTCTCCTTCAGCTTCTCACCAGAAGACCTGTATCTGGCATACTGAGAGATGTCAAATGCGCTCTGGAGAACGATAACATCAGTGCGGTTCTGGATAACTCAGCAGGAGACTGGCCAATTGCACGAGGCAAAAAGCTAGCTAACGTAGCCATCCGTTGCTGTAAGAAAAACCCAATGAATCGACCAGACTTGGCAGTGGTTCTACGGTTTATAGATCGAATGAAGGCCCCAGAAGTGCCTTCATCAGAAACATCATACTCGGACCAAAAAGTTCCACGCCGGCCTCCTTCTCATTACCTCTGCCCTATTTTTCAGGTGAGTTTCAAAGCCTAAACAGAGTTTGATGGGGGAATTAGACAAAATTCTAACTTAATGTTTGTTGGCATCACAGGAAGTGATGAAAGATCCATTGATAGCAGCAGATGGGTTCACATACGAAGCAGAAGCGATTAGAGAATGGTTAGCGAATGGACACGATACGTCGCCGATGACAAACCTGAAGATGGAAGATTGCAATCTCATACCTAATCACGCTCTTCATCTAGCTATCCAAGATTGGCAAAACCAATGGTGATTTACTTTTGCCTTTCTATTCAGACAACAATATTGCTATTTTTAACTCCCAATTTTTTTAGAATGTCACTTTGTAAATTTACCCCTAAACGTATGGAAAATATATAAAGCCTTACATATACATGTGTCGCAGTTATAATTCGAAATGAAGATTAAAACATATCTCTCTTTTGTTGTACAGTACACATAATTCATAATTGTATGATTCACACATAATACGGCGTCGTTCCTTTTGCCCGCCAAAAAGAAAATGTAAAGCGTTGGAGAGATGTTTTACTCTAACAGTGTCATTTGACTGTTAGGTAAATGGCAAATCAGAGTCATCAGACATTCTTTGCGTCGTCACCTATGGAGAATTTCATCAATCACCATCATCATCATTATCTCTCCCATGGCTTTCACAGATACCGGTATCAACCGCTCGGATTCTCCTATCTCCGATCAAGACTATGACCTCCGACAACGTGATCACTCTTCGTTAGACTCTGACTTTCTCCGTCTCCGAAGCCAGATATTCGAAGGGAGTTATCGGAAAGCTGATTTGATTAGAGTGAACCTTGAGCTGTCCCACGAGAGAGATGCGCTTAGGCGAAGAAATCGTGAGCTTGAAGCTGAAATTTCGGAGGCAGAGATGATTAGAAAGGAAATGAAGAGAGATATGGAAGTCTCTAAAGAAAGAGTCGGTGAATTGGATGGAGAGACGAAGGAGAAATCCAAATTACTATCGGATATTGCGGATTCCGTACGATCTATGGAAGACCGCTTGTCGAAATCGATCCGCTGTTTAAACGAAGAGGAAGAGGAAAGAGGGGGAAAACTGGAAACAGAGGAAAAAAATTTCATGTCAATATTGGACTTAGTCAAGGAGGTTGAAACGAAGTTAGAGACGTTCGTGGAATCAATGGAGAAGAAGAAGCTAGAGCTAAGTAGAAGTGTGGAGTTCTTGGAAGAGGAGAACAGAGATATCAGTATCTTGTTAAGGGCTGCTTTGTCTGAGAAACAAACTGCAGAGAAGCAATTGAAAGAGATGAATGAGCAGAAGGGATCGGCTTTGCTGCAAATCGCAGGACGAGGATTGCAGAGAATAGGTTTTGGTTTTGGGTTCGGGGATTCTGTAGAGGAGAGCTCAGAAGCGGGAAATCTCGCCAAGGACGAGGAAGGAGAAGAAGAGAATGGTGTGGTATGTTCATTACTTTGTTCACATTCTTGTGATTTTGTGGAGTTTTGAAACAAGAATCAAAATTTGCAAGGACAGGTTATAGCAATAGAGAAAACTATGAAGAAGCTACGGCAAGAGGTTTCTCAGCTGAAGATATCCTTGGAGGAATCAAGGTAAGCTTTTTTCTTAAACTCAAAACACATAGATGATGATGGATTATGGTTAAGCTTAGATTTTGATAAATGCAATTTTCATCTTGTTCTGACAGGTTAGAAGAAGAGCGATTGAAGAAATTTACAGAGGAACAAGCTCAGAAAATAGCAGAGAACACGGTGTATATCGACAAGCTGCAAAATCAAGAGATGTTTCTTGCTCAAAACGTAATGTATTTGCGGATACATAGCTTCTGTCTTCCTCAATAAGTTTCTCATTTTTGTCACAAATCACTTACTAAAGAGAGGTTTTTACCTGAACCAAAGGTGGCAGAGCTAGTGAAAGTAATAAGAGAAGCTGAATCAGAAGTAAGTAGATGGAGAGAAGCTTGTGAGCTAGAAGTTGAAGCAGGGCAGCGCGAAGTCGAAGTACGCGGTCAACTGGTAAGTATCATACACTATTCCAATCTTAAAACAATACAGACAACCCATAACTAACAAAACTCATTGTTACTATAAGATAGCGGTTTTAAAGACAGAGGTAGAGAAACTGAGATCAGCCTTGACCATATCAGAGGGCAAACTAAAACTGAAAGAAGAATTAGCTAAAGCCGCAATGGTAGCAGAAGAAGCAGCTGAGAAATCTCTGCGGTTGTCCGAGAGAAGAATAGCTCAACTTCTCAGCCGCATTGAAAATCTCTACCACCAATTGGAAGAAGCAGAGTCTACAGAACGCAGACGTGGAAAGTTTAGGTATGTTTGGTGTTGGCCGATGTGGCGCTTCCCTACCGCTGCTTCTGCTGCTGCGACCGCTACTGGCTGTTCTTCATATACAAGCAACAGAGCATTGTTACGATATGATGCGTGATGATCTAGTACTGTTAGCAGTTAGCACAAGAGTTGTGTAGACTAAATATGACCATAAAAGCTCAATATTTACTTGTATTAAAATCGTTACTATTGTGCGGAAAATAAAGTCCCACTTCCTCATAATGTAACCAAGATTTAGCATCCTATCGATAGGTAAAGTTGAGAATTTTACATTTTCCAGTGGCCATAGTAACAGTTCAAGACTTTACATGGATTCAAACACAAAGTGACATGGATTTGAAGCCCTGCCCACACTAGCCAACTCATTGAGCATCTCACGTCTCTCTTCCAATTCTTTGAGCTTTACCGGTTCGATGGGCTTTGTGGAGAAAGTTGCTTTCTTCAAACGTCTTGTGTTTCTTAGGATGTATGTAGCCACTTCTTTCTCATCTCTTAGTTGCCATTCATATCCTGTCCACACAAATGTCTCAAGATGGAACAACAAACATTCCGGTACACGTTTTGGTTGACTCCATTTTTGGCCGATCCGATTTCCTTTGTCGGAAGACATATCTAGCTGAGAACAATGCAATTTATGTAATATTAGATCAACAAAGTACCTGAAAGTGGAGTTCTGGAAAAGAGAAAAAGGTAGCTGTCATGACTAATGAAACTGCTTACGTACATCGATGAGCTTAAGGATTTTCAACTTAGGAGAAGCTTCAAGCATGAGCGAAAGTAGATTCCACCACTTGCATTTATCTGTATCTAATTCCAAATATACTAGCTGATGGAAAATGATACCACTAGGATACTTGATCTGTGCATGAGGTAATTAACATTAGTACACAAAACAATGTTAGGCCAATTGTCGAAAATCTAAAATCTAAAATTTACCTCTAAGGGTGAGAAGTGTAAGGAAAGACGTTTGGCTGAAGTTAGAGATTCCAAAATGTTTTCATTCTTTATATCAAAAACGTCACTGACTTTTGCCTCCTCCAGCTCTGGCGCTTTCTCAATCAAACATAATTCAAACGTATTTAACCCTTTAATGTTCAAGTATTTCAAAGAAGGAGCATTTATCACATAGCCTCCATTACCTTCTCCTTCTTGTTGGTTATAATCTTCTATGGTTAGTCTCTGTAATGATGGCACTGCAATAATGAAAGTCATCTCAAAGTATCGATGAACTACCAAATCTTCAAGACTAGGACAACCACGTAAAAGGTTGCAAACAGATTCTTCGTTTCTAAATCTAACATAGCTGAGGTGCAGCTTTCTAAGGGACTTCAAACAAACCCGATAAGGAAAATCTAAAAGAATGGAATTCTCGAGTTTCAATGTCTCAAGTGTAATATTATCATCTATGCACAAAACACTCGGAAATCTGACTAAATAGCTCTCATCATCATAGTCATTGTAATAGTCATGAACCAGTACCAAATTACGCACATGGCGTGCAAACGCAATTCCAACCAATATTCCAAGATCCGAAGCATCATATCTATCTCTAGTTTCCAATTGCAAACTCTCTAGAAACGGAGCTTTATGTAACATAAAAAATTTGTAAACATCCTCTGTAAATGTTCGGTGATACTTAGAATCAAACTTGAGATTTTGCACCGTCTTCCAAACATGTCTCCAACGTTTAGACAAAACACTCGTGGCTACAACAGTTCTTGTCGGAAGTGAAGAGATTATATTCACAAGCAAAGCTTCATGCAACTCACTGATTCTGTCCTCATTCACAACAACCCTCAAACATTGACCACCGCTTTCGCTGTAAAAATAAATTAAGAACGCGAAAGAAAAAGAGTTTTAGGGTTCAAAGATTAATTAGGGTTAGAGTTTACTGCTAATAAAACCATAGAAAAGGATTTGATTGAGAAGAAAAAAAGGGACATAAACGAAAAGAAGCAACATACCATTGTTGTTCCATCCTGGTTAATACAGACAACAATTTGGTAAGATGCCTTCTCAGTGCTCCAAACGCAAACGCAGACTATACACGAATCTGACTAAAAGCTTAGAGATGATATAACGCCATAACGGTGTGTTGGGATATTGTGGATTTCTCTTTAAACCTCTCTTCGTATTAATAATTCTCTCTTTTGTTTCTTATTCTGTTTTCTATACTTTTCTCTATAGTTAAAACTCTAACATAAGCATCCTATTTATATTGTTATGATTCAGAACACAAATAGTAAATTGCTAATTCTTAGGGAAAAAACCCGAAAAAACCGCCATCTATTTTTTTTTTGGCCGTTTAATACGTGTGTTTTTAAATTTGGAATAAAAATACCTCATTTAATTTCGATTGTCTTTTAAAACTATCGTTTTTTAAAACTCGGTAATTTCGAACCCGAAACTTAACAGTCGTTACTGGACGTAACGGAATTATTAACAGCGTTAAATTTTAACCCTGCGTCTTTATATAAATATATAAAATCTGTCTGCAATACTTCCAATGATAGTTAATGTGGCCTGGTGGTAGCGGGTCTCTTTTGGAAACCACCCGACCTGGGTTCGAGTCTCGAATCTGTTTTTTTTTTTTTTTTTTTGTTCTTCGTCTTCTTCACCGGTCCTTGTGAACTATTTTCTGCGAATTTCTCGAGTTTTAAGCTGGATCCATTGTCGAATCGTGTCAAGGAATCTGAGCTTCGTGCTTTGTATCTTCCGAGACAACAATAGCTTTCGCTTCTCTCTCTTTGGAATGGTACGTTGGTGAATCCTTCTCTTAATCAATCGGAGAATGCTTTGGGATCATTTGTGTTGTTTGAGGATGTGAAATATGCTGTTTCGAAGCAGATTTCATTGAATAAAGAAATCCAAGAGGTGTCCGATGATGCAAAGGAGAGAGATTTGTAATTTGATTTCCAATTTTCAATATCAAAAATCTCTCATTTTTTTCAGATTGAAAGTTGTTTTCCGAATTATTCATGGGTTATCACAATACCCACAAGATCATGATTTTGTTTTCAAATCCGATGTGATTCTTAAAAATGATTTGTTGATTCTTTGGACATTGGAGATCTGAGAAGATGAAGTGAAGAACAAAGAGGAAAAAAAAAAAAAAAAAACAGGTTCAAGACTCGAACCCAGGGTCGGGTGGTTTCCAAAAGAGACCTGCTACCACCGGGCCACATAAACTATAACTAGAAGTATTCCAGACAGATTGTATATATGTATATAAAGACGCGGGGTTAAAATTTAACGCTGTTAAATAATTCCGTTACCCCCAGTAACGACTGTTAAGTTTCAGGTTCGAAATTACCGAGTTTTAAAAAACGATAGTTTTAAAAGACAATCGAAATTAAATGAGGTATTTTTATTCCAAATTTAAAAACACACGTATTAAACGGCCAAAAAAAAAATAGATGGCGGTTTTTTCGGGTTTTTTCCCCTAATTCTTATTGTGAGAATTTCCTCTTTTCCTTGTTTGTCTTTTCTTCATGATTTCCTTTTGCTCACTTTCCATTGTAGCCTGATTTTCTTCTTTGCTTGATAAGAAAACGAATCTATTCCAACACGGTGACGATTCAGCTTCAAAACGTTAGCAGGTCAGTTTTCTTTTGGGTTCAAAACAAAAAAAGTAAAGAAGTAAGTAAATGTCTATAACTGCAGAAACATAGGCTGTGGCGTGTTTAAGAAGTAAGAAGTAAAGAAGCGAGATTTGTCGAATACGAGGCCTTAGACCATCTTTATCAATGAGTTCTTAAGATAATCTTAAGATGATCTTAGTAATTTTTTAGTATTATTACTAAGAACCAAAGTTAAGATCCAAAATGAAAGTGGCTTACCTAAGAGCCAAAAAGAGGTAAATCTTAACTTTGGTTCTTAGTAATAATACTAAAAAATTACTAAGATCATCTTAAGAACCCATTGATAAAGATGGTCTTATAGTGAAAAGTGAAAACGTTGTCGTTTTCAAAAATTAGAAAGTCTCTGCGTCAGATCTCAGATGGGCCTCACGGTACAAGAAGCCTTCAACGTTACACGTTTTACTTAATTAAACGTTGTCGTTTTAGGGAATTAGAAAGTGTAATCTTCTTCTTCGGCGGCCAAAGACGACGGCGACAACGATGAAAGAAGAGAAGAAACAAGAAAATGTTACAGTGACGACGAAGAAGATAGCTTCATCGTGCGATGTGGAGGCGTTGAAGAAATGCTTAGAAGAAAACAAAGGAGATCATTCAAAGTGTCAGTCTCAGGTAGAAGCTTTTAGATCTTCTTGTTCTCTTCCCAACAAGAAATAAACCCTAAATTCGATTTGGAAGTTTATGAGAAATCCTCTGTAATAAAACTCAGACCAATGTGGTCTGTATTATGATGATTGTAATGAACAACTGTTTTTTACACAATACAATATCATTCACATGCATACATAGATAAAGAACTTGAATCTTGATCATTGAGGCAAATCTGATTTCTCGAATGTCAAGTTACCAGACTCGTCTCGTTCAAAGAGATGTTCGATTAGTTCGTCCCAACTTACTCTACGGTTCCGTTTCTTCCTGTAAGTTGGTCGAACAGAAGATGATGATGATGATTCACCCACCATTGGTGCAATCAAGTCTGTTTCTTCTTCTTCTTCATCCTCTGTTTCTTCTTCTTCTTCGGTTTCATTTTCTTGAGTTTTGTCGAATGTTCCATACTCAGAGGCCATTGACTCCGCGTGAGGTACATCTAATGTTACTGCTCGTCTTAACGCTGCTCTATACTCCAGATTGTGCTCTCTAGCTAATGATTCTTGCCTCTCCATCCTTTGCTTCTCTGGAATCTCCATTTTCTTTTCCTTCTCCATCATTAGCTGAAGAAATTTCGCAGCCGCAAGTTAGATTAATAAACGGTAAGGATATTTCGCGTCTAATGAGGTTGGTGAAAACTTACGTTGAGAGCTCTCTGTGCTTCTCGTTCGATCCAGATGATGGCGTGGTCTGAAGTTGCGTTACAAGAAAGAACAATGTGTTCGAATCGTCCGTCTACTGGCACTGCTGTCTTCACGACCGGAGGATATCTTCCCAATCTGCAAGAAACAATTACCAAAAACGGCATCTTCACAACACATTTAGCTCACATGATGATCACAGAGCAAAACTGTGATGTGTCTTCAATGTAATGGCACATAAGCCATTTGAAATTGCAAATTAAGTGAGCTCATGTTATTGAGATTGTGGGTTGCTTTAGAACCATGGTCCTTTAAGTAATATGTGCAAATCTATATATTTGTGTGTAATGTACCTGCAAGGCTTCCTTTCAACGATGTGATACATGCGACCAGGAGCATAGAGCCGTCTAGGATTTTTGAGCATCTTTTGCTCTGGAACACATGTATCCTTCATGCACCTTATGCATAGCAAACATGGCAAACTGTCCACAGACAAAAAAAACAAAACACAAAAACTCATTACAAGTAAGCAGGGTTTTGGAAGGTGTTCTACAAAACAAAGTGAACTAACCAAAGCTCCTTATAACTAAAAGAGAATGAGAAATGAGTACCAAAACCCTTGAAATGTCCCAGAAGAGCATGCAAAAGAGCATGCAAAACATATAATTATATAAAGGACATATAATTAGTGGACCAGAGAATGTTGTGTGCTATTGTTGAAAGTTTTTTTAAAAAAAAAAAGAAAACATACTCTGAACCCTCTCCATAGTATAACTGTCCAAGAAAACACAGATGATTCTTTGAGACAGAGTGTCATAGTGAGATAGCTTTACCAGAATACAGACTTGAATATGTCTTCTAGAGGCGTAACTGTCCTGGGCAAGAAATCATCCTAAAACAAAGACTTTAGATTTAACATTTACAATAGCCAAAAACTTGTACCATAAAGTTAGACACACCTGAAGTATGACAGAGTTTACAATCAGATAGCTGTTCTAAAGTCAGAGGTTGAGAAGCTGAGATCAGCATTGGCCAGATCCGAAGGAAAATTAAAACGGAAAGAAGAATTGGCCAAAGCCGCAATGGTAGCAGAAGAAGCAGCTGAGACATCGCTGCGGTTTTCCGAGAGAATAATTTCTGACCTTCTCAGCCGCATTGAACATCTCTACCGCCAACTGGAAGAAGCAGAGTCTACAGAACGTAGAGGCAGAAAGTTTAGGTATGTTTGGTGTTGGCTGTTGTGGCGCTTACCTACCGTTGCCGCTGATTCTGTGACCTCTACTGGTGGTTCTTCATATATAAGCAATAGAGCATATTGTTACGATATGATGCGTGATCAACTAGCTAGGATCTGTTTCAGTAGGTTACAGTTTTACCTTCTTGGATGTAGTAATTTATTTACATGAAAAAAGCAACGTTTGCATTTCAATTCCAAACATAATTACAAAAACCATACAAATCAATCACATCAGAAAACAATATTACCAAAATCTTACAAAACAATCTTCAAAGTTTATTCATTATTACTTTACCTTTTTGCACAATCACCATGTTGGACGTGGAAACAATGGTTGAACATCTGAGGAAGAACACGAAGCAACAATACTAGAGGCTGGGGCAGTGACACCAACAGTCCACGAATCATTTATGTCTACCATATGCATTACTTCTTCATCTTCATCATCATCATCATCATCAATTTCAACCTGCACTTGTGAATCCTCTGGCAATGAACAAATTTTCTCCAACTCTGTAAAAACTTCTCTCATATTTGGCCGCTTCTTTCCCTTTGAGTTTAAACACCTTTTCGCTAGATTTGCCACCGCCGTTACTTGTTTCTGTTTGCAACCATCTCTTATTCGAGCATCAATGATATCAGTGAATCTGTTTTCTTTCATGGCAGCTCTGAAATAATCAGCCAACCCCCTTATTTCTTGAGGATTCAAAAGGGTTATAACTGGTTTCTCTCCTGTAATAAGCTCGGCGAGGACAACCCCAAAGCTATAAACATCGCTTTTTTCAGTATATTGGCTTGAGCCATAGTACTCTGGATCTACATACCCAACTGTACCTGAAATAACCGTTGTCCAATGAGTTTGATCTACGGTTATTGATCTTGAAGTACCAAAATCAGACACTTTGGCTCGGTATTTTTCGTCAAGTAGTATGTTTGTTGACTTGATATCTCTGTGATAGATAGGAGAACATGCAGAATAGTGAAGATACGCTAAAGCTCCTGCGATATCCACGGCAATGCGCATACGCACCCCCCAAATCATTGTGTAATCATCAAATTCTTCATGGATATGTTGGAAGAGGTTTCCATTGGGGATAAACTCATAAATCAGAATAGGAACCTCTGTCTCAAGACAACATCCTAGGAGCTTCACAACATGTCTATGGTTGATCTGGGAGAGAATGACGACCTCGTTGATAAACTCTTCTAGTTTGTCTTCATCAACAACTTTAGATTTCTTGACTGCAACAGCTCTACCATCTACAAGCATTCCCTTGTATACAGTTCCTTGACCACCCTGCCCAAGAATCCTGTTGTCACTAAAGTTTTCAGTGGCTTTCTCCAGCTCTCTCGTGCTGAATATTCTTGTCTTCTCCACGTTGCCTTTTCTTGTATTTAATTGTTGTTGCAACAATAGACCTCCGTTCCGTTTGAAGAACTTCTTTTGGCGCCTTATTATCCTTCTCTTTCTTAGAAATTTCCTCAACCACCATGTTCCACATACGAGGAATAAGACACCGAAACCTGAACCAACCCCTATACAACCCCCACAAGCAAACTCTTTGTTGATCATCATGTTTATAATTAATTAGCCTTAAAGTTGTGACTGAATTTGGAGAAAAACTCGGTGACTTACCTGCCATTATTGCATGAGCCTTATCGCCCACACAGTTGTATTCTCCGAGCAAATTCACACAAGTGTCGCTTGCTCTACAATAGTTCAAGGATTTGTTGCTGCATTCATCGACATCTAGAGAGGAAATGTCATATTATTGTCATCTTGTAAGTATTACAATGTTTACACACACGGAAAAAAAAAAGAGAGCTTAAGGAACATGTACTGACCTGAGCATCCGTTTACGATATATGCGTTACCTGTGTAACCCTGGTTACATCCACAACTTGCATAAGTATTCTCCAGAATGGTACTATTGTCGCATACGCAGCTTATTTTGCGATCATACGGGTACCGGTAGTTCTTGTACTCTGTTTTGGTTTTGCAGCTTAAGGAGTCTAGGAATGAAAGATTCTTAGTCTGGATGACCCATCCTAGCCTCACTGTAGCATTTCCCTTAGCAAATAACGGTTCTGGTTTGGTTCCATTCAATAACTCGTAGTTATCATCTGTTAAGAAGGCGACTTTACACTCTTCTTTTGTCATCGAGTTCTCATCATCTCTCTATTCTGATACCAATGATCTGTTGAGGCTGGTAAGGTATACTTGACAAGCAGCATCCGTTACCAACACAGCTTGTTTTGTTTTTCGTACAAATCTGGCTGTCGGAACGGGGCAATGTGTTGTTGGAGCACCCAGTTTTGTCAAAAAAGGGAATGTTATTACTATTCAACTCTGCTTTGGCTGTGCAGTTTAACTCGCATACCACCTTGCTTGGCTCAATGTTCGTCAATGACACCCTACTTTTGCAACCAACCGCTACGAGGTAGTTGTCGTTCTCAACGAAAAAAGGGCTTCCCGTTAAATTCAAAAGTGATCCAGTCTCTTTTCCATCGTTTGAACATCCCCTAGATGTTATCGGGATTCTGACACGGACTGACCCGAATATCGCAGAAGTATGAGAACCATAATCGCCTTCGGGGAGAGAGATACTCACAACAGTCATGTTGAACTTTGAAAGGATCGGTGAATTTTTAAGACACTCGATTTTGTAATCATCGTTGAGATAGCAATCCTTATTACTAATTCCAAATGGGTACGGGATCTTGATATTTCCACATGTGGGTTGACAATAACTCGAAACAACTACAATTGATGAACTAAGGAGGAGCAACAATAGAGAAGTCAAGAAGGCGTACTTGTTGTCAAACCTCATGATGGAATGAATTTGTTCCTTGCTAAGCAGGACCGGAATGCCTTTGTGCGTAGAAAGACACCTTTCAAGGGAAAGTTCCAGTTACTTGCGTTACAGGTCCATAAATGTCTCTTGTTTCATAGGAACTACTTGGAGATTATTTCTGACAAGTTTGGGTGTAGAGCAATAACCCCAGTTAAATTTCTTTTTTGTTAAGCCAGAATCAGTTCTCTTTTGAGAATAATTCAACCAGAAACGTATAGAGCTAGACGTCAACGCTCTTTTCTAAAAAGTTTAACCAAGTCTTCTACTTCTTAAACTAAAAAAGGGAGAAATTTTCATGGCAGTTAAAAGGCTCATTCTCATCTTATTGGTCTAGACGTCTAGTTGGCATCTCCTTTTCAAAGAAACATATACATAAACATATTCATTTTCACTACACAATCAAAAGACCACATTTTACTTCTTTATGATTGGTTTTAAACAAGGGAGACTCACAAAAATGCCCCTTTTTCAATACCCCTTTTCAAAAATGCCCCCTTTGGCTGTCCATTTTTAAAAATACCCCTTTTTATGTACAAAATGACTAAATTACCCTTCTTTTAATAAAATATATCACAAATATATAAGGAAATATAACAAAATTAGGTCCACAAAATACAAAATATTTTTTGGCGGGAAAAGTGATCCCGCAATTTTTCCCGCCAAAACACTTGTAAAAACTTATAAAAACCTTTAAAATACCTTGTAAAATTTTCCCGTAAAATTTTTTCCCGCCAAAAATTTTTTTTGCGGGAAAAGTGATTCCGCAATTTTTTTGGCGCTAAATTTTTGGCGGGAAAATTTTTGGCGGGAAAAATTTACAAGGTATTTTAAAGGTTTTTTACAGGGTATTTATAAGGTTTTACAATGTATTTTAAAAGGTTTTACAACGTATTTATAAGGTATTTATAAGATATTATAAGATTTTACAAGCAATTTTATAAGGTTTTACAAGTTTTTTATAAGGTTTTACAAGTTATAAATACCTTATAAGTACCTTGTAAAACCTTTTAAAATACATTGTAAAACCTTACAAAACACTTGTAAATACTCTGTAAAACCTTTAAAAAACCTTGTAAATTTTTCCCGCCAAAAATTTTCCCGCCAAAAAATTTTCGCCAAAAAAATTGCGGAATCACTTTTTCCGCAAAAAAAATTTTTTGGCGGGAAAATTTTTTGGCGGGAAAAATTTTTACGGGAAAATTTTACAAGGTATTTTAAAGGTTTTTTACAAGTGTTTTGGCGGGAAAATTGCGGGATCACTTTTCCCGCCAAAAAATATTTTGTATTTTGTGGACCTAATTTTGTTTCAAATAAGGGTAAAATGGTCATTAAAAAATAAAAGAGGGCAAACTTAAAAATGGACTCTCAAAGGGGGCATTTTTGAAAAGGGGTATTGAAAAAGAGGCATTTTTAACAATTTCTCTTTAAACAATAAAACCAGTTTTTTTTTTCTTAATCTATATATAATAGCAATCTAATAAATACCATTTGCACATCTGAACGGTTGCGTCTTTTAATCGCTACCTTTCGTTTAAATCGGTTATTTTTTACGGTTATTTTTTTATGGTTATTTTGGTCTTTTTATCGCAATTTTCGTTTTAATCAGTTATTTTTTTACGGTTATGTCGTTTCCAATAAATACCATTTACATATCTGAATGGTTGTGTCTTTTTATTGCAACCTTTCGTTTAAATATTTATAGTTGCTTTTCTTACAGTTATTTTTGTACGGTCATGTTATTTACATAATAGTTATTTTTGGTAGACAATTGCAAGCTTTGATTTATATATTTAGTTTATTTCACGAACGATTGCAACCTTTGATTTATATATTTAGTTTATTTCACGAACAATTGCAACCTTTGGTTTATTTTGTAAATTGCTATAACATCTAATTATCTACCGTCGAGTCTCACGGTATAACTTTTCATAAATTAATATTTTTAATTACCAAAATTTATTTAAATGAGATTGTAATCGTTTAATTGAACCATTGAAACATTTGGTTTATCTGACAAATCATTGCAACTTTTGGTTTTATTTTACGAACCGTTGTAATCTTTAGTTTATTTGACAAACTTGACGAACCGTTGCAACTTTTGATATATCGCAACATTTCATTTATTTTTTAAAGTAAAAAAATATTTTACGTTATGTATTTTAAGAAAGTTGCAATTCGAATAATAATTTTTACGGTTGCATCTTTTTATCGTAACTTTTCATAAAATGGTTGCAACCGTTTAGTAGAACCATTGCAACATTTAGTTTATTCACGAAAAATTGAAACTTTAAGTTTATTTTATAAATCGTTATAACATTTAATCATCTACCATCGTTATTATTAATTTTTGTTTGATATTTTTAAAAACAATTTATGAAATATTTTCCCCCGCGACATCGCGGGGGTCCGGAGCAGTGCCGTGCTAACCCCTTAAAATAAAGGGCACTTGCCCACAGCCACAATTTATAGACTTGATTTTTAGGCCACATTATTAAAAATATCTTATTGTCTCGGTAAGTTTTAGTAGTCTCATATATGTATTTTGCTTGAAGTTCGATCCCATGTTAGCATAATTCATTTTATTATATAGATTTACACACTTGACATTATATTGTAGCTCACTTTTCTTTTATAATTATTTTAGGTCCTTAAAAAATAATTATTGAACTAAATTATATAGGCCACATTTTATTTTTTGTCCCAAGCTCCAAAAGACCTAGGCACGGCACTGGTCCGGAGTCCTAGTTACAATAAAACCAGTTTATAATTATAGCATTATCAATCGACACAAAACCTTTTTGTACCTATGATTGGTTTCAAACGCATGCATCTGCAATAGCTCACAAAAATAGCATTTGTGTCGCGGCTAAACAAATCACGTCCTCAATCCCATACCATGGAAGTGGAACCTGTGCAAGAAGCCTGCTGTGTGACAATTACGGTGCCGCTCCTAACTTGAGGAAAACGCTTACGTTTCACATGAATTTGAAAGTCTTCGTTAAATGGGCCTTTGCAATACAATAAATGGGCCTAACTTAGGAAGAACACTGTCGTTTCATGGAAATAGTAGAAAAGTCTCTTCTTGTCGTTCCTCGGCAGCCAAAAAAAAAAAAAAAAGAAGACGAGTTTCCGAACGAGACGAGACGACGACTATGGAAGAAGAGAAGAAATCAGAAACTGTTACGGTGAAAAAGATAGCTTCGTCGTGCGATGTGGAGGCGTTGAAGAAATGCTTAGAAGAAAACAAAGGAGATCACTCAAAGTGTCAGTCTCAGGTAGAAGCTTTTAGATCTTCTTGTTCTCTTCCTCAACCCAAGAAATAAACCCTGAATTCGATTTGGAAGTTTATGAGAAATCCTCTGTAATAAAACTCAGACCAATGTGGTCTGTAGTATGATGATTGTAATGAATATCATTACACAATACAAATATCATTCACATACATAGATAGAGAAACATGAATAGTATTATTGAGGTAAATCTGATTTCTCGAATGTCAAGTTACCAGACTCGTCTCGTTCAAAGAGATGTTCGATTAGTTCGTCCCAACTAACTCTACGGTTTCGTTTCTTCCTGTAAGTTGGTCGAACAGAAGATGATGATGATGATTCACCCACCATTGGTGCAATCAAGTCTGTTTCTTCTTCATCTTCTTCCTCTGTTTCTTCTTCTTCTTCGGTTTCGTTTTCTTGAGTTTTGTCGAATGTTCCATACTCAGAGGCCATTGACTCCGCGTGAGGTACATCTAATGTTACTGCTCGTCTTAACGCTGCTCTATACTCCAGATTGTGCTCTCTAGCTAATGATTCTTGCCTCTCCATCCTTTGCTTCTCTGGAATCTCCATTTTCTTCTCCTTCTCCATCATTAGCTGAAGAAATTTCAGAGACGCAAGTTAGAATAAGAAACAGTAAGGATTTCGCGTCTAATGAGGTTGGGGAAAACTTACGTTGAGAGCTCTCTGAGCTTCTCGTTCGATCCAGATGATAGCGTGATCTGAAGTTGCGTTACAAGAAAGAACAATGTGTTCGAACCTTCCGTCTACTGGCACTGCTGTCTTCACAACCGGAGGATATCTTCCTAATCTGCAAGAAACAATTACCAAAAATATCATCTTCACAACACATTTAGTTCACATGATGATCACAAATTAAAACTGTGATGTGTCTTCAATGTAATGGCACATAAGACATTTGGAATTGCAAACTAAGTGAGCTCATTTTATTGAGATTGTCAGTTGCTTTAGAACCATGGTCATTTAAGTTATATGTGTAAATCTATAGATTTGCTGTGTTATGTACCTGCAAGGCTTTCTTTCGACTATGTGATACATGCGACCAGGAGCATAAAGCCGTCTAGGATCTTTGAGCATCTTTTGCTCTGGAACACAAGTATCCTTCATGCACCTTATGCATAGCAAACATGGCAAACTGTCCAGAGGAAAAAAAACAACCCAAATACTAAACACAAATCCATTACAAGTAAGCAGAGTTATGGAAGGTGCTCTACAAAACAACGTGAACTAACCAAAGCTCCTCAAAACTAAAAGAGAATGAGAACTAAGAATACCAAAAGCCTTGAAATGTCCCATAAGAGCATGCAAAACATGTAAAGGACAGATTTTTCGGTTTTTCTGCTATGCTTAATGGACCAGAGAATGTTGTGTCCTATTGTTGAAAGTTTTGAAAATAATAAATCATACTCTTAACCCTCTGCTTAGTATAACTGTCCAAGAAAACACAGATGATTCTTTGAGACATAGTGTCATAGTGAGATAGCTTTACCAGAATACAGACTTGAATATGTCTTCTAGAGGCGTAGCTGTCCTAGGCAAAAAATCATCCTAAAGCAAACAGAAATCAAACAAATACTTAAGATTCAACATTTACAATAGCCAAAAACTTGTATCATAAAGTTAGACACACCTGAAGTATGACAGAGTTGATCACATCTGCATATCTAACAGCCAAATTCAATGACATACACCTCGCAGGCGCAATAGCGAAACACCTA